GCTCTGTGTCGAATGCTGCATGCGCCGCAGTGGCAGACCCGTCGTCTGCCGTGTCAGCTGCATGTGACACAATCTTGAACATTTTGCAATCCGTGGAGTGGCCGCCGTGCCATACAGCAAGGGCTGTGTTGCAACCGCGTGACAACGCTGGTCCCGGCTACTGGAATTTTGGGGTTAGGCCCTCGGAACCCGCAGTTCTTACTTCTATCACCCAAGATAAACCCGACATAGTTCGCCGTTTGAACGCCTTGTTTAAGGTTCTTTGGCCGGATCAATTTTGGAATGCGATTTGTATAAATCTCAACCGCGTAGCTAGCCTTCACCAGGACTTAGCAAACAGTGAGGGCTCCATGAATTTGAATGTCTCCGTTGGGGACTTTCAGGGGGGTGCATTGTGGCTGGAGTCAGCAACAGGCACTTTGTGGCGCCAGCCACCAGGCAGCCAGCACTGGGTCAAGGGCGAAGAAGTTCAGACTTTTCGGAATCCCGTTACTTTTCCAGCGTGTGCCTGGCATGAAACCATGCCATTTGTGGGTACTAGATGGTCCATCACTTGTTACACGTTGCCCCATGTGCCAGCGGGTACATTAGCCAAACTTGGTTTTCCGGAGGTATCTCCGGAGCAACTTCCTCGTGTATCGCAGACACAGGAGTCAGCTGCCGCATCCGCGGTTACTTCCAATGCGCCAATCTCAGCCTTGCCACCGGTGGTGGCCACACAGCAGCGCCCTCTTTTCTTCTTGGATCTTTTCGCCGGTGCAGGTGCACCACTCTGTCAGGAGGCCGCACGTCGGGGTTGGGCGTGTATTCCCATAGATATTCTACATAACAAGGCATCAGACTTACGCGATGATCGCATCTTCGATGGTCTCTTGAAGCTTTCCCACTCAGGTGCAGTAGCGTTTGCAAACGCATCCCCTCCTTGCTGCGAATACAGCATTGTGAAGCAGTTTGATGGCGGACCGCCACCCTGCCGATCATGGGAATGCTTGGCAGGCTTTCCCTCCAACAATGCCGAAGCCCAGGAACGTGTTCAGTCCAGCCACCTTCTGTTATCTCGGGCAGTCATGCTCTTGCACGCTGTATTTCAGAGTGGCAATCACGTAAGCTTAGAACAACCTCGTAACTCTATGGCTTGGGCTGAGCCCGTGACTCAGGCTTTCCTTCTGGAAATTGCGGCGGATGTGATTCAGGTCGCAGCCTGCAGCTATGGTTCGAGCTATGCAAAGTACTGGGCCTTCGCCACAAGTTGGCGACCTTTACAGCAATTGCAAAGTACTTGCCAGCACGCTGCGGGTCATCATGATGCGTTTCACGGCAAACGTGACGCCGCAGGCCAGTTCGTGTCTCGGCATACGGCGGTGTTCCCTCCCATGCTGTGCAATGCGTTCATGGAGGCCATTAGCCCGTTGTTCCCAGAGAACTCACATGCTACCGACTTCACATCATTGAATCAGGCACTTTCTGCATTGCCGGTTCGCCCCTTGAACGATTTCCCGACTGGCCAGCAGGATGGCGGCGGCATTTACAGCCAGCCCGACTGGACTTCTCCTCCGGCGGGGTCAAAGGATACCTTCCGCCAGTTGCGTCAAGATATGTGGGGGTTTTTCAAAGAGCATAAACTTTTTGATCGCCTTCGCAAACATGTCAGCGAGTCATCGCAAGAGCCTCTCATTCAGCAGCATGAGCTCCCTGCATTGCGATCGATTTGGGAAGATTGGTTTAGAGCTCAGGGCTTCACGGATTCAGTTTCATGGGAGGTCGCGCCCGACCAGCCTTACTGTCTTCAGGCGCTTGAGCTTCTGAGCAAGGCTCTTGACGACCGTGATGTGGAGCTTTGGAAGGACTTGCAGGCTGGGGTGCCAACGGGTGTTGATGGTGACATTTCTATGAGCAATTGTTTCTTGCCTACCCCAGCGCATTTCGATCCAGAAGATTTTGATGTGCAAGTGTGTTCGGGCAACTGGCCCGGGGCCAATGAGGAGCCAGAATTGCTGGCGGAACTTGTGCAAAAAGAGGTGGACAAGGGCTACGTGCACGTCTTCGACTCTCTCGAAGAAGCCCAAGCCAAATGGCCCCGGGTCGCTGTAGGCAAAGTAAATGTAGTGAAAAGTGGTTCTAGAGATCCTCGCTTAATTGTCGACCCATCGGTTAGTGGGGTTAACCCTAGCTGCCACCTGCCTGAGCGCTTTCTTCTCCCCGGTCTCGGTGACATCCGGGCAGTGTATCCCCTGAGGGGTGTGTCGGGCTGTATAGCCGCATGCACATTAGACATACAGGCCGCCCACAAAACCGTTCGGATTCGGGCTAGTGAACAAGGATTACTTGGTTTTTGTGTGAACGGCAAATACTATTTTTATAAAGTGGCACCATTTGGAGGTTCTTTTTCAGCGTTGTGGTGGCAACGCGTCGCGGGCTTTTATGTTCGCACCGGCCATCGCCTGATCTTCATCAGCCACGTCCTACTTATGTACGTGGACGACGCATTACTCCTTCAGCACAGTTCAGCCATCGAATTTTCCGCGCTCCTGATGGTGGCATTCTCACAATCATTTGGATACCCGATCAGTTGGCGTAAGCTCCAGCTGGGGCCCAAGCTGGAATACATTGGGTGGCAGCTTAATTTCCGTGCAGGCACGTTTTGTCTGCCTGATCCTAAAGTGGCCAAACTTTTGCAAAGCCTGATGCAAGTGCTCCGGTCCGACCCTTGCACCAAGCGGGATTTGCAGGCTCTCATCGGTCTCCTTCACTGGATATTACAGATGTCGCCCGAGTTGCTACCGTGGCTGTGCTGCTTGTATCACGACATGTCTCGTCCCTTGGGCACAAATTTTTCTTTGCATGCAGGTGCCTGGCAACAGTTAGCAGATACCTTGACTGATGACTTGCATTTCCGCAAATCGCCACCAGGGTCGACCATCCCCCCGGGCAGCAAGTTGTTGAGTGCTCGACATGTGGAAATCAAGTGCAAAGCGGACTTGCGCTTGGTGCGGGCCACAGGCAAGCGTGTCTGGATTCGTGTGGCGGATGCATCATCTAGCAAGCGTCGAATCAGCACGGTGAGCAGACAGTTTATCATGTTCTGGGTGCACTTTTGCATGCGGCCTCAGATGCCCCGCTGTTTGTCTTTGCCGCCTTTGGACTTTCAGTATTCATTAGCTGCTGACGCTTGTGCTAAGGGCAACGACATTGGGATTGGCGGATGGGTTGAATTGCCGAATCAACCCATTGTTTGGTTTTCCGAATGGTTTACGGTCCAAGATTTCCGTTCGCTGGGGTTGCCCATGAAAGATGATGCTAATTTGGACATTACAGCGTATGAGACGCTGGCACAACTGGCTCTCTTGATCGCTTTCATTTCCATCACTCCTACTGGGCGACTTCGGGTATGCATCCCATCTTGGTCGGATAATTCGGGGACCGAGTCCTTGACGAACAAGCTTTTCACAGTACATACACCGCTGTGTTTCTTTGCTCAGAAACTGGCTACGCGGAGTTGGCAGTCTGGAATCTCTCTCGATTGTACACACATCGCGGGATGTCACAATGATTGAGCTGATTTCTTGAGCAGGTGGAAAGGCGACTTGCAGGAACTTCCTTCCCGGTTCACCTTGGATCACCGGGTTCGTTGCCCACTCACAGTCTTGTGGGAGGGCGAGCGAGATGTTCGCGTTTTCCCGCCACATGCTAACTTGCTTTGGCAGCCGCCTGTATCTTCCTTCAATGCACACAGCGTGTAAGCACTCGGCATCGGGCAGGTTCAACATCTCACGGTGCGCGGTCGGCCTGGCCTTCCCCCGTGGGCTCTTGGGGTTCCTGCAACACCGGTGTTGATGTGCATCATCGTCGGGGTTTGACACTCACGGCGCGCGGTCGGCTTGCCTTCCCCCGTGAGCACATGCGTTCCCCTGAGGGCGGTGTTGTGAGATGCGGAACATGCATCAGTGAATGCGATAGGCATGAGTTGCAGGCAACTAGATCTGCTTGCATACGCAGGGCGTCACTGCTCGTTGAGTACTTTATGCTTCTCATATACCTTGTTTGATCTTCAACCGTATGCGGTGACGTTTCTTTGGGCGGAATGCCCACTCAGGTTCTGTCGGCCTCACGTTTCGGTAGTGGGAGTGCAGTGCTTGCGAGTCCGACCTCTCCTTTGTGGCAGTTTACGGTTCTGGTGTTCGTACACCTTCTTGCATCTGCATTTGACATTATGCTGCTGCACGAAGTGTCTTACCGCCAAAAAGGAGAGGATCGAACTGCAACGTGATACACGTGATGTGAATATGTTTACATATGAATTATAGAAATTTGTGAGAGTATACTTTGCGGCTAGATGGAAATGTAGAACGCTTTTTGTGCTTGCTCAAAACTGTTTTACATTTTTGTTCTAACGCATGATGATTCATCCTTGTTGCTCATCTAGCCGCAAAGCTGCTCGAGCAGAGAAAGGTCAAGAAAGGCCCCGCCCGCCCGCCCTGTGTGGTGTGGCATTAGCTTTGTGCATGTCTTACGGTGCATAGTCAAGACATCGGTGCATTGTACATTCTCTGTACATTGAAGTGCGGACATTGAATGCATACGACTTCCGGCGTACATCCTGTGGTATCTTTGGCTATCTCTATACTTGTTTTATGGTCCTTGCTTTTGGTACTCTTACACTTCTGCAGCCGGTGTTCGTACACCTTCTTGCATCTGCATTTGACATTATGCTGCTGCACGAAGTGTCTTACCGCCAAAAAGGAGAGGATCGAACTGCAACGTGATACACGTGATGTGAATATGTTTACATATGAATTATAGAAATTTGTGAGAGTATACTTTGCGGCTAGATGGAAATGTAGAACCTTCTGGTGCTCACGTATTGCTTGCTCTCGGTCTGAGTCCGCTACGGGCTCTGTCAAGCGTGTCTCGCGAAGTGGCGCGCATCTTCTTCGAAATCAGGCTGGCTGTGCATCGTGCTGCGCCCTCTCTTGCGAGGGCTTATCACCGTCCTTGACGTTATGTCCACTGCATCCAGCTCGGCTGAACAGCCCGCTGCTGGCGCTGCTCTAATGAAAGGACCCTCTGTAGTCCCTGACCCAGCCTCCCCGCCTGGGGCCCTACCTCCCGCCCTTGCTGATGGTCCTTTAAGGGTTCAAGTTGGGGGTTGTATGGATGCTTTTGATAATCTGCTTCAAGAGCTTTCTGAGGAGGTCCAGTACCCGTTCCCTCCACAGCCTCCCGAGCATTTCTGCGAATTCCCTGAGGATTGGTGCGAGTCGGAACCGCAGGTCTCAAGCGATGTCTTCTCTAAACAGGGAGCCTCCTTGTTGTCAGACACAGGCGAAGTTTTCTTTGAAGAGAGTGCATCCGTGTTGTCGTATTCGCCGTCACTAGGGCAGCGAGACGGAGTTGCTTCGCAGGCATTGAGTGCTGCACCAAACACTTCAGCTGGCAGGCTAAGTAGCTCGTGCAGCAAAGAGGTTGAACGCCCCGCCTTCGTGCAGGACGATGCCCTGGGATCCTTTGTTGGAGGATTGGTGAAGTCTGATGTTGCTAGGTTTGGTAATTTTGACTTGAGCCTTCAGCTGCCGTGGGAGACCGATTTTGCAAAGAGCCTGCTTGACCCAGATTGTGTTTGGGACCCTTTGAATGGCTTCAAGCAGGATTCGCAGATTCCTCCTTTGTCGACGCTAACTCTTGCAAATCCATCCTCCAAGCAGCCTGCCAAGGAGTGTCATACTGGAGCCATCTTTGCTTGGGCTGTGTCACTTGGTGCGGCGGCTAGGGATCCTGCAGCTGAGAGAGAGCGAAAGTTCGACCAAGGGGTGTGCATGTGGAGCCGATTGGTCTTGAGATATTCAGCATGCTGCACGCTTTACGACTGTGTTTTAGATGGCCAAGGCGCAGGTGAGAACACTTATGCTTTGATCGAGGCTGCAGTCTCAGCGGCCGTGGGAGTAAAGTCGCCACACACCATCCACAAGAGAGCGTCCTCATTTTGGGCGTTCGTTCGGTGGGTGGATGTCCATGATCCTCAGTCTGCCGAGAAGCTGCATGAGGTACAGGTGTGGAACTTTGTGCAGTTCCTTAAAGCTTCTGAGGCACCCGCATCAAAAGCCTCGTCTGTGATCAGCTCCTTCAGGTTTGCGCATTTTGTGCTGGGGTTCAAAGTCACGAGCATCATCGAGTCAAAGCGAATTTGCGGTGCCGCGGAGCAGCAACTTGTGAAGGTCAGGAAATTGAGGCAAGCCCTGGATCTTAGGGTCTCGCAGATCCTTGAGCTTCATGCGCGGCTGGAGTCCGGAGCTCTGCATTGCTTCGACAGGGCTCTCCTTGCGCCCATTTTGATCAGGCTGTATGCCAGGGCACGTCCCAGCGACTTCTTGTTCATTGAGACAGTTGAGGTTGACTGTCCGGCCGATTCAGACTACCCTTTGCTAGTCTTTGAAGTCTCTGAGCACAAGGGGGCAAGAAAAGTCCAGCTTAAGAATAAGCTTCTCCCAATCTTGGTGCCCATGATTGGGGTACATGGAAAGTGCTGGATAAACGAGGCCTTGAGCGCCTTCAAGGACGCTGGCAGAGCATTGCCGGCTGTGCGAGGTCCATTGACTCTTGCCCCTAGGGATGCCTCTGGGACTGCCCCCTCTGCGCGGTCTGTCACTTCTGCTGAGGTGGGCCGTGCCTTGCGTGCATTCTTGGGCGAGCCTGAAGAAATCATTGATGCTTCCGTGCCGAGAGTTACCGCATACTCTCTTCGTGGCCCTTGCTTAGGTTGGGGAAGTAAGTTTGGTTTTGACGAGGACCTCAAAAGTATACTCGGCAGGCATGCTTCATCGGTCAAGACTACTCAGGCCATCTACAGCAGAGAGCTTGCAGCTGCCCCAGTGCGGAAATTGCAGGACTTGATCAGAGAAATCGTGGCCGGCCGGTTCATGCCCGACAGCAGTCGGTCGAGTTACTTCCCAAAGACGCCTAGCGCTAAGGAAGCTGGGAAAGCCATCGCATGCTCGGACAGTTCGGCCCCTGGAACAGGTGCGGTCAAGATCGAAGTGCTTAGTAGCGACGAATCTGGTTCGGAGCCGGGAGATTCGCCTGATAGCGAGTCCTCTGGCTCGACTTCGAGTTCCTCGAGCTCTTCTGTAGAAGCTGCTGCTCAGCCCATTGTGCGACGGTGGAAGAGAGCCAAAGTGGAGTCTACTGACCAGGTGTGGTACGCTCACACCGGTAGTGGAGTTTTGCATCTGCTCGCGAGTCCTGAGGAGGCTCCGATGTTGCTCGCATGTGGGCGACCGGTGAATAAGAATTACCGGGAGGCTACGAGAGAGGAAGTATCTCGTGGGACAGAGTGCCGGACATGCAGGCGAAATGTTTGACGTGGATCCAGGCTGAAGTCGGCCCCAAAGAAAGAAAAAGGATGCGAAAGGAGCGAAGGTGCTCCGAGCGTATGTGCTCCGAAAGTCGATGCGACTTCTTGGGGGTGTGCATGCTGTCACCTTGTGATGTCCCGCTCGAGCCTTGCTTGAGTCAGTGTGTGCAGGTTTGGCTAGCCTCTTGAGTTGAGGTATGAGCGAATGTGCTCGGAGCGCATGTGCTCCGAAAGTCGATACGACTTCTTGGGGGTGTGCATGTTTTCACCTTGCTGCTGATGATACTTGAGCTTTGATTGAGTCAGTGTGCGCAGACTTGGCTACTCTTTCGAGCTGAGGTGGATCGATTTCCGCTAAAGCTTTTGGGCTCAGTATGACCTCTTTGGTAGAGAGCACCCATCACTTCACCTCGAGATGCACCGAGGTCGGTCTTAGCCGGGATACGCTCCGTGCTTTTGCAGCTCATGGAATCGACACTTTGAGTAAGTTGGCTTACTCGTGCGGCCAACCGGGGGCGCCGTTGCCTCAATCGGACTTTGATGACTTCATTGCTACCGTGATACCTGCAGCTCTCTTGGGCGAGAAAGGAAGTGTGAAGAGGCTCATCTTTGAGAGTCAGGCACTACTGCTCACTGATCTGCGTGAACAAGTTACGCAGCCCGACAAGTGGGCTACCAAAAATGTGCCGACCGTCGAACGGCAGAAGAGAATGGAGGCTGTGAAAGCCAGCATCCCAGGAGTGTTGGTTGAAGGGTCCTTGGAGCCATCGCATGGGCTCCTCAATGCTGCTTGCCGCATGGAACGTGAAGGCCAGCTGCGCTACATTGCACCTGAGCAGTGTGGCACAAGAATGTATGAAATCCAGAACGTCAAGGCGCAGAGCAAGGTTCTTTCTTTGGAAGAGGGCAAGCTTGCGATTTCAGAAGAAAAGGATTTGCCTGAGGTCACTTGTGGGTCCGCCTTGTTGCTACAAGAGGCTTTGAAAAGGCGGGGGATCGCCCTTCAGTTTGCGGGTGTGGCTTCCTTCCTCGCTCACGAGAAGTATGTATTGAAGCTCTTCGGCCACATGGGTCGAGAGCCCCCTTCCGGGGCACGCGAGAACCAGTGTGCACCAGCTCCTCACTGCTGACCGCCAGGTTTGGACAAAGTTGGTCGAGGACGAGGTTGGCCCAAGGCGCAGCCCCGCTGGCACCTACCCCGTGGACGATGCACTGTTACCCGCGTTGCAATCGTATGATGTCACTGTTGCGCTGCTCCCCAGGGAATCCTCTAAGGATGGCAAGAAGCGTTTTGCTCCGACCAAGAAGCATCAGAATGAGCGTGAACAGAAGGTTGGCAAAGGTGACGGAGGCAAGGGTTCTGGCAAAGGCAAGGGCAAGCGTCCAACATGGCAGCCAAGTGTGCCGGAGGCTATACGCAAACTCGGCGGGAGTGCCCAAACTCCGGACAAGAAGCGCATTTGTTTCTCCAGGAATCTGCCTTGTGGTTGCACCCTTGACCCGTGCCCGAAAGGTCTTCATGTTTGCGCACTGTGCTTCTCCCCCGATCATGGCATCCAGGAGTGTCCACAGCGCAAAAAGTGACATCCGAGCCACACTGCGGATGTGCATATGGTGACCGATGACGGAGAGGGCATCGCAGCAACAATTGCCGCAACCTCGACTGGAGGTCAAGACTACCCATTGCATGATTGCAGCTTGGTTGCACCGACCGGGTCAAAACTCGTTGTGTCAGAGCATCCAGCTGAAAAATTTTCTGCAAAATGTGAGCCTCCTGTGCTGGCTGACATCTTGAACTTAATTACACTTTTGGAGTCTGAGAAACCTTCACGAGGTCAATCCTCTGAGAACACCTTTTCTTGGACCTCAGGCGCATACGCTAAAGGTCCTTTGCGAGGGCTTCGGAAACATGCTTCTGTTTTCCCCGCTTGTACGCGCATGCTTTGCAGGCTTGTGCTCCAAGCTTTTCCGGAGGCCGATTTTGGCGCGGTTGCAGTTTTTAAGAATTTGCGAACACCTCTACATGTCGACATTAACAACTCTCCGGGATCGGTAAATTACTTGATTCCTGTGTCCTCTTTCACAGGTGGCGAGGTGTGGCAAGAAGGACAGGGATCCGTTGTTGTGCACGATGAGTTGGGCCATCCACTCATGGGCTCGCTCCTTCCGGTTGCAGATGGGCCCTGTGTCGTAGATCCGCGGCGCACCCATTGTACCATGCCGTGGGTTGGTGAGCGAGTGCTTCTCGTTGCATTTAAGCCTGCGCATACTCGTGATTTGTCCATAGCCTTCAAACAGCAGCTCCAGAGCTTAGGTTTTCCCAGCCGGGCATTAGGTTTGTGTGCGTCGGAGGCAAATTTGTTGCCTCCATCACCGCCTCTGCCAGAGGCTAGCTTGCTGCCGATGAGACCGGTTCTTCCGAACTCCGATGTCGTTTGGAATGACCCCCTTGTTATCGAGCTTTTTGCGGGCAACGGCCGTGTCACTGCTTGCCTCAAGCAGTTGGGACTTTCGGCTGCTGGGGTTGACCGCAATCCTAGTAAGTCCGTGTCCTTCTGTCTACCGGCGGACCTCACCTCGGCTCGAGGCCAAAAGCTGTGCAAGGAGTGGCTCGCCTCTCCTAGATTGGCCGGCATTTTTGCTACGCCCCCAGCCTTCACCGCTGCCAATGCTGATGCAATCACATTCTTGTTGCAGGTGTTGTCCACAGCCTTGACCAATGGAGTCCTTTGTGCCATCGCGAACCCTCGACCAAGTCGCTTCTGGCAAAATCCTCAGTGGAGGGCTGTTGCCTCCTCTTTTCGTTTTGTTGCCTGCCAGGAGTGTACCTTCGGTGGCAGACATGACGATCACACCGTTTTCGCTGTGTCGGATAGTGGCTTTGACAAGTTGGCTCGTTCCTGCCCCGGCCCTCCGTGCAAAGCCTTGAATCGCTGCCCCGATCCTGGCACCGGTTACCCTGCTCACCTTGCAATGCAAGTAGCATGCTGCTTCGCCGAAGTTTTCGTCAAGAGAGGTTGGCAACCGCCTAGCCAGTGTTTCGATGCATTCGACCCTCGACTTCAAGTGCCGATGTCACGCGCTCTAGCAGGTGCTCAGCCTCCGGCTAGCAAGATTCCTCCGCTCGTCCCGGAACATAAGCGTGTGGTCGTGCTCCGCCACCCGCCTGGCCTCCAACTACCGTGCCAGCCCATGCAGCGTCTTACTACAGATTGGCTCGTGCCTCAGGGGTGCCATGCTCCCTGCGCCTGCATTCCTGCGAAATCCCAGCTTCTCAGGCACGTGCCGATAGGTCAAAGTGGGGGCGACGAGACTGTGAAAGTAGGTTTGTGGGAAATGGCTTGGGGAATTCCTTGGGACCCAGAAGAGTTTATGAAGACGGCCAATGAGTCCAGCCATCCTCGGACCATTGGATCTGTGCTCCCTCAGCCACTTAAGGATTCTCTTGATGCATTGGACGAGAAGAATGACGCCGAAGTAACCGAGCTTAGAGCTAGGGTTATTAAGGAGTGGGTTCACCTTTCGGTTTCCCTTGCTCAGGATGAAGCAAAGTTGAAAGCAAGCATGCACCTTGACGTCCGTGCCATCACCGAACCGAAACGCATTTTGCTGTGGGAGTCTCTGATGGCGAAGTACGCTTATCCTGACCCTGGAGTGTCCAGTCTCCTCAAGGAAGGGATTCCCTTAGTGGGTCACGCGCCCATCTCGGGCGTCTTTAAGCCGAAGTTCAAACCTATGCAAGCCACGCCGGAGCAAGTGCGCGAGGATTTTCATGATTTTCGGAAAAAGGTCCATAAGTCCCTTAAGCCCCAGGAGCACTCCCTAATGTCCGAAGTTTTTGAAAAACTGAGAAGGAGCTAGAGGCGGGCTGGATCATTGGCCCTCTTAGCGAATCCAACTTGTGCTCAGGAACTTTGGTGAGCAGGCGGTTCGGATTGCGGCAAGGCCCGAAGGTTAGGTGCATTGACAACTTGACTTCGTCTGGGGTAAACTTAGCAGTGCAGGCTTATGAAGCTCCCCAACCGCAGTCCACTGATGTGGTGGCTTCCACGTGCCAGCGTCTTCTTAGGTACATCAAAAGGAAAGTAGGCAAGGCCGTCTTCAACCTCTTGGGAAAAGCTTTTGACCTTACCGCTGCCTATAGGCAGCTACCGGTGCACCCGGGCAGCGAGTGGGCTTCATACATTTGCTTGATCCATCCGGAGACTCATGAGAGAGTGTACTTCCGCATGAGGGCGATGCCGTTCGGCTCTTCCATGGCGGTGTATAGTTTCTTGAGAATCAGCCACTCGCTCTGGTTCTTAGGAACCAAAGCCCTGCTTCTGCCCTGGTCGTCGTTTTTCGATGACTATATAACATTTGCCACTTCCGGCCAAGCTCTGTCGGCGGAATCGTCTGTCACTGCAATGTTCAAGTTACTTGGATGGGCCTTCGCTGAGTCCGGTGACAAGTCGCATGACTTTGCAAAATGCTTCACTGCATTGGGAATAGTTGCTGACCTGAGTAAGGTTCGCGACGGAGTGATTTACTTTAAGAATACGGAAAAGCGTATTGAGGAAATCAAATCCTTTGTGCAAAAAGTGTTGGAGGACGGCCGCCTTCCACATCATGAAGCGCTTCGCCTCAGAGGGAGGTGTCAGTTTGCAGATTCGCAAATCTTCGGCCGCACTGGGAAGAAGTGTCTAGGATTGATCACTGCACACGCCTTTGGTCTCGAGGAGGCTATCAGTCACGAGCTTCGCGTGTCGCTTGAAAGGTTTCTGCAAAGGCTTGAGTGCGATGCACCGCGACTTATCAAGATCCTTGAAGGCGGGTTCTGGAAGGTGTACACGGATGCATCCTACGAGCCGGGTGCAACCACGAGTTACTGTGGAATAGGCGGTGTGTTGGTTGATCCTAGTGGTGTGCCTAGAAAGTTCTTTTCAGCTGTTTTGGATGATTCCCAAAAGATTTTCTTAGGCGAATCCAAGTCAGCCCAGATCATTTTTCAAGCAGAATTGCTGGCGCTCACAATCGCTATGGATGCTTGGTCACACGACTTTAAAGGCTGCCCTGTAATTTTCTTCGTGGACAATAACGGGGTTCGTGACATCACCATTTCGGGGCATGCGAAAGCGTCGATAGCCAGGCGACTATTGGAGATTTTCTTGCAATTGGAGCATGATGCTTCAGTCGTGCCTTGGTACGCGAGGGTACCATCACCATCAAACCCCGCAGATGAACCTTCGCGGATCGAATGCAAAAGCCTGTGCCTCTTGGGCACTCATCTTGAAAGATCCACCGTGGGCGGCATCATCACCGCTTGCTTGAAGAAAGTACAGGGGCTCCGGTGAGTCTGCAGTCACTGGACGAAGCTAAAGGATTCCTTAAATAGGTTAAGTTGGGGTGAAAGTCAGCAGGGCCCCTCCGAGAGGGCTGCAACTCCCTGCGTGCAATTAGTGTAGAAGAATGCCAGCCTGGCATGTAGCTAGTGTACCTGTGCTGAAGCAGCACACATGCATCTGACATCCCATCGTCACCGAAGGAAAAGTCTTCTGAGTGCGATCCGCAGTTTGCGAGTTTCGGTACAAGCAGTCATGTCAACCTTGTTGCTTCAAGCTTTTCAATTCTTATTGCAGCTCGAGGGCTAAAGCACTTAAAGTTTTCTTGCAGCTGTTTGGTCCAAGTCGTTCGGCTCGAGAGAACCACACAGTCTCGCCCCGAGATAGTGGGTTCTCTTGAGCCTGAGCGAAGGCCCTCGCGTGGGCCGCCTTGGACAAACTTACGAAAAACCTTCTTGTGCCAGCTTGATTTCCTTGATGCAATTCCTTTGTTTTCTTGAAGCTTTTTGCAAACCTCTTTGCGGCTCCGGTCAGTTCGTGCAATGCCATCTCGCATGCAGAGTTGTGTGCTCAAGCCGAGCAGAAAATTTTGTCCCACCCACCCGCCCTGACACTGGCGTGGTGCTCTTGAGGGGTGAAAGTCAGCAGGGCCCCTCCGAGAGGGCTGCAACTCCCTGCGTGCAATTAGTGTAGAAGAATGCCAGCCTGGCATGTAGCTAGTGTACCTGTGCTGAAGCAGCACACATGCATCTGACATCCCATCGTCACCGAAGGAAAAGTCTTTTGAGTGCGATCCGCAGTTTGCGAGTTTCGGTACAAGCAGTCATGTCAACCTTGTTGCTTCAAGCTTTTCAATTCTTATTGCAGCTCGAGGGCTAAAGCACTTAAAGTTTTCTTGCAGCTGTTTGGTCCAAGTCGTTCGGCTCGAGAGAAGGGGTCGTTCCGTGGCACTGGGTTTTGGTGTTTGGGATTGGGGCTTCGTGCTTCTAGAATAAAGGGTCTTTGGCTCCGGTGGTGAGAGGTTGTGGGTTCGGCAGGTTTGAGGATTTGAAGTTTGGTGTTTGCGGGATTGCGGCGTTTATCCAGGGGTATCGGGATTTTTCTGCTTATGGTTGGGGGCTTAGGGTTTCCGGCGCTCTGGGGAAGGTGGTTGTTGGGTCCGGGGTTTAAGGGTCTAGATGTCTTTGGGGATTGGGGTGGCGTCGGGTTCCGGCACAATGGGTTTGGGGCTTTGGGATTTAAGGGTGTAGGACTTCTAGGATT